CCTTTTATGCGTATAGATATTATCCTGTCACTGACAATATTGTACTTCAAGACAGATCTAGGAATGACTTTTTTAACTATGAAAGCAACTCCATTTTTCCTCACTTTTTCATCTCCAGATGACAAACGACCTAGAGAGGTACAAATGGCTAATAAACTTACCTGCTAACAAAATATTTCTAAGTTCAAGCCCTCTTGGAGGTAACTGGAATGACTGCTAGGGTTGGTTATCTACTTTTGAACAGTCAGCTATGCCAAACTTGGGGTCACCTGTTTTAGCCTGAATTGACTTGTTGACATCAACTTGGTTATTGTGATGAATACCTATGGAGTAAGGAAAGGAAGATATTTTGGGCAGAGAAAGTGCAATATGAACTAGGGATGGCCCTCAAGGATGATTTGTTGCAGGAATGGGGGTGGGTGGGTGTATTGGAGACGATGAGGTTGGCTCAGCATAGACCAGAGTTCAGAGCTGTTGTACACAGGGTCGTTATGAGTTACAAGCGACTGCATGGCACCTAACAACAACAACAACAAAACCCACCACCCTCGAGATGGAGGCTGGACTCTGGAGGAGACAGCTTTCTTCAGTAATGGGCAATTTCCCGAAGGCAATTTCTCTTCAGTCAAGAGCTGACAGCTGAAGGCTGTGAGCTGACGATATTTCCAGCGGCCACAGAAACAAGTTAGTTAGTTTGAAAAGAAGCAAAATTAAAGAGCAGAACCTGTTGCTCTCAGGTCAAGGCCAACTCCGAGTGACTCTGCAGGACAATGATACATGATATTCACCTTGAGATTCACTGTCCTTCAACCTCCTTTCTACTGCCCTCTTCCTTCTTCTTTCCTTGTGTCTCTTCTTACCAGCTTATGCTCTTTGATACTCCACCATCATCTTGATTCTGCATAACCACTTCTAGTATTTTGTAATCTATTGTATTTCCCTAGAAACTCACCTCTATTTATGCCTCATTTCCCAGTTGATCTTACTGCACCTGCGTTGAATAGTTGAATGGGATGATTAAAGCACGTGCTTTCTGAAGTACCCGAACATTGAACCCTGGTGGCTCTGTGGTTGTCCACCTTTGAGTTAGAACTGACCTGGAACTGAATCTCCAGCAGGTTTTCAGAGGCAGTAAATAACATGGAAGAAGACAGCCTATCCTTCTCCTGTGGAACAGCTGGTGGATTCAAACCTTTGGGATTGCAGCACAGCTTCTTACCACTAGACCACTGGTAAGGCATTGTACTGCCAATGCCAAGGTATGAGGTTCAAATCCACCATTTGCTCCATGGAAAAAAAGATGATCAGTCTCCTCTCATGCTATTTACTGCATCTGAAAACCTACTAGAAGGTCAGCTATGGGTTGGTTCAGACTCAATGGTAGATAACAACAGCAACAACTTTGCATTTATTGACTCCAAAGCACAAAAGAACTCTCAGCCACTTTGTTATATTTCTTAGTACATTTTCTTTCTTTATATGCATAAGCACTATTTAATACCCTCTGCTTTTTCCATGAGCCTCCTGCAGCTTGTTCTCTTCTGAATGCTCAACTGTCTGCCATTTCTCATCTTACCAACACCGTGTATACCAACCTAGCTCCATCTCTACCCTTGTATTCTGCCCTTCACGTTGTAAAGTTGACATACTCCCTTGTGCCCTGGACCTCATCTTTTCTTACCTTCTTTAGGACTTATCTCTTGCTTTTATCTTCCCTTTACATTGTCAAGCCCCTTCACATTTACTGGATTAGTCCCCAGAGTATTTAAGCATTTTGTGGTATTTTTCCATCTTTAAACAGGACTCACTCTTGCCAAGTCTTCCTACTTCTATAATCCCATTTTGTTCTTTTTCTCTCTTCTTAGAAAAATTTCTCAAAAGAGATATTTTGCTTTTTTATCTTCCTCTATTTCCAGTTCATTTTAATCAACTCTATTCAGGCGTTTGCCCCCACTAATCTACCAGGTCTACTCTTGTCAGGTCAAGGTCAGCCTCTTCTCAAATCTAATGGTCACTTCTCAGTCTGCATCTTTCTGCTTCACTGTTACAAGTAGCAAAGTTAATCATTATTCCTTTCCAGAAACACTTTCTCCTACTTGAATTTCATGATACCATCCTGTGAAGCAAAAGGCTTAAATGATGTCAGAAAAGTTCTTGTGAAAGAATTTCAATACCTTGACTTCCAGAGTGAGCTGAGTTATATCTAATACACCTAAGCAGTTACTGTCTTGTCTCAAATTCCTAGGAGAATTGCCTCCACACCTTTGCTTTATGTAGTCTTACCTTGTAAGTTTTTGGTATTTTGTTTCTAATTTCTGCTACCTGCGATCATTTTTGGAAACACATAATATGTGGTTTGACTACTTTGTTGGTTGCCTGAGTAGTTGCACTCATTTCTGGTGTTTATTATTTTATCATCTTTATTGGAATCTTGTCTTCTTCTAGAATCTGAGTTTGCCATAGTAACTTTTCATTACTGACTGACATTTTAGCACTGAAATTCATCTGATGTTATTTCAGGGCATTCTAATAGGAAGTAAACCAATTGTTATATAAATGAACCAAAAGTAGGTTTTAGGTTGTTTACTCAAGTTGATTACTCCTTTATAGCAAGTTCAGACCCATTAGCCCAAAGAAGCCTGCTGGTGGCAAACTAAGCAGATATTGAGCTACTAAGAGACTGCCTGGGTTACATATCCTTCAAAACTGAGTCTAATGTCTGTGAGCCATAGCTAACCCAGGACCCTAGAGTTATTGTATCACCTAGCCGATCTGTTCTTTGGAAATCTTTGACCCAGAGTCTCCATATTACTGCAGAAGGACATTGCAGGTGGACACTAGCCTTTCCACCCTTCTCTTACTTTGAATTTTCCAGACTATCTTTCACTATGTTGACTTGCTGTAAAATTTGCTTCTGATATACTTCCTACTAGAGTGCTCTGGAGGCCTTGTGGTAAGTAGTTGTATTGCCAACCCCTAGACATATGTCTTACATCCTCCAGTTACTCCATGGGAGAAAGATGGACAGTCTTCTATGCAACTTAGTCTTGGAAAACCTGCTGGAAGATCAGCTGTGAGTTGGTTCCAAGTCAGCAACACAAAACAACAATATCAGCAACAACAACATACCTCCTACTAGTTGCTGGCCCCAATATACAGCTTGTTGTACAAATCCTGCTTTGTTCTGGTTGTATAATTTTCCTTAATCAGTCCTGAACTTTTTGAACTTGCTAGACCAACATACTGCTACTTTGAAAGTAAATGGGTATGAGGGTTTCCCAGTGACTCAATGTAGTCATTTTTATCCTTAATAATAGACATAGACCAATAGTTATTAATTTTATAAAGCAATGTATAGAAACAATTGCATGAAATATAACATGAATGAAAGAGTTTGTACGACACAATATATAGAAAGGAAACACAAAGTAAATGAAATATGTGTGGACTCACATGAAATTAAAAAAAATATTATACAGTAATATTTATCAGTTGTAATTAATATCATACAGCAAAATATGTATGAATGATTAAATGAAAAGTCAATGGGGCTTGTATATTTTCAAGCAAATGGAAAATGTTAATAATTAAATTATTGCCACAGGTTGTTGTAGAAGAGCCCCAAAAAGTTTTGCTTCTGAAAGATACTAGAACTTTAGTGATTATCTCAGTGGTAGCACTGTATTTGCACTGGAGTGATTCTCATTTTTATGGGACTTCCTTGAAGTGCATGAGAGATTGACTTCTGAATCCAAATCTTGCATCTAGGATGTATTAACTGAATAACTATTCCAGCTATTTAATCCAACTCAATTTTCTGCATTGTAAAATGGAGGGAGTGATTGTGCATTCCTGTAGGAATTGTATGAGGATAAAGTTAGATAATGCAGAATATAAATTAAAGCATTCACTTCAGAGCTAACCCTTAAAAAACTGATGAGGATATCAGCCCTGACAATGACTTCATTCAAGTCCTAGGCTAGTAACTAAAAGAACCAGGATTATAAATTGTATTATCTGTCTTTAATTACCATATTGTACTTATCTCTCTCCCTCTCCCTTTCATACATAAGGCTTCTTGGTAAAATAAAACCATTTTAAAGCCATGATACCTAGAAGAGACTAAATACTGTACTTAATTAAAACTGGGCTGGTTTAATCCTTTTCTTGAACTTCGATGAAGAAGCAGGTAATGGTTTTACCTCCATCCCAAATAAAGTAAAATCTTTGGTTGAAACGGCCCATTATTCTATCACATGGTGCAGATTCCCAGACCAAATAATGAAAGACATGCATTTTTACCAGAAAACCACAGCTGTATTCCTAATACAACATTGGAGAAACCAACTACACCATTGTTTTCTAATAGATGAATTAAAGTCTACTTTAGTGAGACATGCAAGCAGAGAAGGGCTGGATTCCCTTGATCCTTTCTGATAAAAATGATACCACAAATAATGGACACCCAATCAGTATTACTTGATAACAACTCAGTGAGCACAGAACTCCTTGAGTTTGAACATGTAAACACAATGCGTGTGGCTTAATGTGTTACATGTTGCACTGGTAATCATGAAGTTGGTTGTTCAAATCCACCAGTTTCTCTAAGGGAGAAAGGTGAGCTAGAGCTGGAATCCAACAGAGGGTCACCATGTGTCAGAATTGACAAGACAGGAGAGAGAGAGAGAGAGAGAGAGAGAGAGAGAGAGAGAGAGAGAGAGAGAGAGAAATCCTTTTTGGGATAGAAATTTTAATAGATAGAAACTTTGTTGTTTTTTTTTTTTCAGGATCATCGTGCACAGTTTTCTATAAATTCTTTACATGCTTGATGAGTGCACCAGCTAAATGGGCACATAAGCTTTTGCATTAATTTAACAGTTTTTTCTTATTTTGGTTTCAGTGGACATTTACTTATCTTTTCTAACTTCAGGGCCAAATGACTACACTTTGGTTCAGTCTTTTGACTAACAGTAATATTGTTTCTTTTTTTTTCTCTTCAGATATTGATGAGTGTGCAGCTAAGATGCATTACTGTCATGCCAATACCATCTGCGTCAACCTGCCTGGCTTATATCGCTGTGACTGCATCCCAGGGTATATCCGCGTGGATGACTTCTCTTGTACAGGTGAGTGTTAAGAAGCAGGCTTGGTTTTCTAATTCAGTCCTTCTCTTCTTTAGTCCATCACCACTTCTGTGATGTTTGTATTTAGGACTAGTACACAGTGTACTATTTTTACCAAAATAATTCTTCTCTTGCATTATTTCACTTTCACTTTTTGAGAAAATAAGTAAAAACATAGATAATTTTATCTGCAGAATTTTCTCCTACTTCCAGTGTTTCTGAATATATGTGTGTGTATGCATGGCTGTGTTTTGAAATGAAATTCCAGTTGCCTATAGTAACACTGAAAGATTTATAATATTAATTCTAAAAATGGAAAAGTATCCACCTGTTTCTTACCATCATAGTGAAATATATTTTGAGTATGAGAAAATGTTCTTTTCTTATTGGGAAAGACATAATTTATATGAATGCTTGCATAAAACACAAAGTACACATATGAAACAATGGTGCATTTGAATGATAACCTGCAAACCAATATTTTTTTAAATGAGTATGACTGGACTATTTAATAAATAAATATTGGACATGCAGGAACCAGTGATGAAAATTTTGATTGCTATCTAATTATCAAATGGAATTCTTGTGGTTTCTTTCTACTAGAATATCATTTCTGAGAACAGGAAGCTTTCATAATTTTACTCAACACTGTATGATGACTACTTTGAATATTGTGTGGTTCAGATCAGTGCTTGGTAAATATTTTGTAGGATGAAAAAAATGAATGAAAGTATTTGAGCTCAGGAAAATTACTTCTTCAACTCTCCTTTCTCAAATATTCCTCATATGCCAAGTCCACAGATTGTTGTGGGTATCAAATATAATATGTGAAAATATCAACATGGTGCATTTATCATTCAGAACACAGTATTTTTCCATAAGAAATGACCTAAGTTTTAAGTGACCTAAAATAATAAAATTGCATTTCTTATAATAGCTATGGTATGTCTGTCACTAGTCAACAATGGAATTTTGTTTGTTCAAACTAATTAGGTGATATTAATGGATGGAGTAGGCTCTATCATTGAAAAAGACAGTGCCAAGGATTTTTCCTGAAGAGTAATGATGTCAGTCTAAAGACTAGGGGATGCCTGAATTATGACATAGGCTTTCTAGTCACCTGCTGTGAACTGTGAATTTGAGAGATAGACAAGAAATAAGGATGATAGGAGAAAAATTAGTACATTTGAGTTGTAGTGATGGAGAAGGGTGCTGAATATCTGATGAACAGCAAAAAAGAACAGATATATTTTGGAGACAGTACAACCAAAAGGCTTCTTGGAGGCAAGGATGGTTCACGCTTCATCTTTTGTGCTTTGGGCATGTTATTAGTAGAGGCTATTCCTTAGAAAAAGATGTCATCATGTTTAGAATGGGGAAGGGTCAGTGAAGGAGAGGAAGATCCTAAATGATATGGATTGATACGGTGTCCGTGGCAATGGGCTCAAATGTGTCGGGGTGATAATGGTGGCACAGAATAGGACAAGTTTCAGCTCTATTGTTCATAAGGTCGCTATGAGTAGTATTTAACTTGATAGCACTTTACAATTACAACTGATGAATAAAGAACATGTGTCTGTTATGAGTTGAATTCTGTGTCCTCAAAAAATATACTAAATTATTTTTTATAGATACGTTACAATTTTAACTGTTAAGACCCTCAAGGCCAATTGCTATCTCATAACTTCTTGCTCATAGAGGCCTCAATAGGGCAGAGTGAAACATAGGGTTTCTGAGGGTGGAAATCATTATAGAAGCAGATTACCACATCTTCATCCCATAGAATAACTGGTGGGTTCAAAGAACCAACCTTTTGTGGGTTTTTTTTTGGTGGGGTTTTTAAACTATTGCATTATGTAGACTTGTGGTCCTATCTACCAATCCCTGTGAATGTGGCTGTTTTTGGAAATAAAGTCTTTTCATGGAAAATTTAACATGAGGTGCACTCTAACCCAATATGATTGACATACTGAGTAAACAAAGAAGAGACACAGACACAAAAGTACAAGGAGGGAAGCCAGCCTCAGGGTTACACTTTGATGAGTCAAGAGACATGTCTGCCTACAGGAAGCTGGAAGAGATAAAGAGGGACTTTCCCTCAGAAACTCTAGAAAGAGCATGATCAGCAGATACTCGGTATTGAAACTCTAGCCTCCACAACTGCGAGTGAATAAACTCACATTGTTTTAAGCCCCTTTTTGGATAGATTGTTATATCTGCCCTAGAAAACAAATGATGGCTGGTACTTAAGAGAGCTCATTTAATTTTCTTTGTTATTAGAAGCTATTGACTAAAAGAAACTTTTTTTAACAAGTCACAATATAATTTAGGAGATGATCTCAGAATAATGATAATATTAAGCATGTAGTAAGTTTATTATGTATCTGCAGGTGGTACAAATGATGTTCCAATGCATACTGTAAAGTTGGTAGCTTGAATCTACCAATAAGCTCCTTGGAAGTCTAGCTCTTTTGTTTCCAGAAGAGTACAGTCATTACCAGTACTATGAAGCAGAGCTCTTACTCTGCAATTTATGAGACCATCATGAGTTGAAATGCATATGATGACTGGTTGTTTTGTGTTGTTTTTCTTTTTAAAAAATTTTTTTCCTAATATTATTTACAAAATTCAAATACAAATTTCAAAATTCAAATACAAATTTGAACATATTCTTTTAATTTCTCTCACCATCCACCAATCAAACTGTACAACCCACTGATTAATTCCCCTTCTCCCTGCAAATCCACATCCCTCTGCTTCCAGCCTCTCCCACCCCTCCTGGATCCTTATACTCATTCTACAATAATGGTTTTATACAATATTTATCCTTGTGGGACTGAGTTAGTTCATTCAGCATAATGCTCTCCAGTCCCTCCCAAGTTAGATAATAATTTACAAAGTTATTGCTCCTGTGTGATGCATAAAATTCCATGGTGTGAATGTACCACAGTTTCTCAATGCATTCATTTGCGGTTGGACATTTGGGCTGTTTCCATGTTCTTACAATGGTGAATAATACTGCTATGAACATTGGTGTAAAAATCTAATTTTGTGCCATGGTAGAAGTGTAGGCAAAATGCAGAAAGAAAATGATCTTGATTGCTAAGATAGAGAGCGTGCAAGCTTTATTTCAAATTGAAGAGAACTATTGGAGTTTTTTGTTAGCATGACATTGACAGGATTGGATTAGAATTTTATAGTGTGAAATATGAATCAAAGAGAAAATGAAGATGGAGGCATTTTTCCAGGTCATTTCTCCTCCCTTATTAGACACTTTCTATTTTTTAAAATTAATTTTAATGAAAATTTACAGAAACTTTGGATTTCCATTCATTGTTGCACTTTTCTCCCTGCCCACCCCTCCACTCCCAGTACACTCTTCTCTTTGAAAAGTAAAAGATAAGTTCCCCCATTGTTTTATAATCCCTCCCCCCAGGCCCACTCCACTATGGAGCCTTCAGTTCTGAACTCCTGTCATGACAATAATACCTGATTACATGTCCCTTTTAAACAGTTTTCTCCCTCATGTATTTCAATGCAGCATACATTATTTATCCCATCTTTCTTGGTCTCCCCACAACCCTGAGGTCGGTCCTGTTTTACAACAGTGGCACTATGCAGTATTTGTCCCTTTGTGACTGAGATATTTCACTCAGCATAATGTCCTCCAGGGTAACCCATTTTGAATAATATTACATGAGCTCCTTGTTTTTCAATGCAGCATAGTATTTGATTGGGCTAATATACCACAGCTTCTCTATCCATTCGTTTGTTGATGGGCACTTAGGTTGTTTCCAACTCCTTGCTATTGTGAAGAAAGCCACGATAAACATGGATGTGCATATATCTGCTTGGGTATACCTGCTACTATTGTGCAAATGATTTTCCCAACATGTCAAGATAATTTTATTTTTCTGATTTTTGTTGCAGTCTGTCATTTAAGTTGGCACTGACTTTTTGGAAGTTGGAAGTGATGCTAAAAAACTTATTTGACCAAAAGTAATGAGCCAAATACTTGAAAGAGATTTGCCAGCTTTGGTGATGAATTTATTGACTTTTTAATCATAAATGTATAACTAGTATTTCTCAGGGGTGTTTGAAAATATGACCACGGAGATGAGTGAACATTATAGTTATATCCTTGGAATTCATCCACTGGTAGTGATATAACATCTTCCTATGAAAATTCAAGGGTACATATGCCAGCAAACAAGCCCCAGTGTTTGCAAGATTGTTTCCAGAACAGAGTTTTAACAGGTTTTAGGCAAGTAGTGTGTGTACCCTTGTGAATGCTCCTTGACAGATCCCAAAGAAAGAACACTAACAGAGCCTTTCCCAAGTCTCAACTCCAAGAACAGTCCTTTCTGAAGACTGCATTGAGCCAGTAGATACTAAAAGTGGGAAAAGAAAATATATTTCAAGAGAGAAAAAAGCTCAAATGATTCAGCATTAAGAAAGATTATCTAGACTTTAAGAATGTGCTTGTAGTTATTTCCTCCTGAAGCATTCTCTGTGGTGATTGTGGATTAAACAAGAATCTTTACTTCCTTTACCCACCCCTCCCTCTACCCATTAAATTGTGTGACCCTGTGACCCTAAGGTTCACCCCTTGCCCATCCTCATCTCTGTGCTCCTACCCTCTCCTCCTTGGATCATTATGATATGTTTTACTACTCATCTTTCTATTTCTACAATCTTTATGTTTATGAGATTGAGTTGGTTCACTCAACATAATGCTTTCCAGACCCTCCCAGGTTAGGTAGTAATTTTCAAAATGATCATTCCTGCATGTACATAATATTCCATTGTGTGAACATACTATAATTTCTTAACCCATTTTATTGTGATTGGACATTTGGGCTGTTTTTATGTTTTTGTGATGGTGAATAATGCTTCTGTGAACATTGGTATACAAATCTCCATTAATGTCTCAGTTCTAATTTTCTCGGTTTCTGTACACAAATACCCAATCTAGAGAAGATAAAATTGATGAATAGGACCTT